GTTTTGCGCAACTTGTCAGTGAACAACGGCTCTGTGTAGTTAATGCTGCTCCATGTGAAAGCCCGCACGCGATGGAGATTTACTGCTCATTACAGAATGGCTTTACTGACAAGATGCACGTTAAATAACGCATGCGATTTATCGTGCAGCCCTATTAAAAACCCTTAATATTTATATATTTTGTGCGTGTATATTAAAAGCATGTCATTGTTAATAACCTGCTTCCTTCCACATTGAGACCGTTTTTATGGAAGCCCCTTTCTGCCCCCCAATAAAAAAAAAAAAAAAAAAAATGTTTTATTCTAGCTTCAAGCATGCTTTTTTAAAAAAATTTTTTATATAAATACTTGAATGTAAGTAGGTTTCATAAAATGCAACATTTTGAGCAAAAAGCATTTTTATTAAATACTACATCTGGATCATATTCAGTAATATTATCAAAGCAAAGATGCAGTAGATGGCTTCCATCAGCACTCCCGAAGCTTGCACACCACTTCCTGGATCGACATTTCACTCTGTAACATTAGGCAGTTTTCAATTATATGTGGTTTATAGTTGATGATCGCAACATTTTCAAATGCATATGCTTACATACGAGATCACTCGTTTCTGCATCCTCCTTGTCTGTGTTTTTGATCGGCACATTCTACACTCATTCAGGAGATGCGTAAGAGCGCCCCCTAGCGTGTAACAGCGAGAACACAGAAACCCGGAAAATGCCCCTCTCTACAGTTTATTTTTCTAGCTGACTAATGAGTTTACGGTCACGGAATATGTGACGTTACGTGACATTGTTCACAAGCCATTATATTGACGTCTTTCTGCGGTTGAAACACTGATTGAGCGATTAACTTACCGACGGATGTTTCGTCATGTTTATTTCGTGCTGAAACTGGTATTAAAGCAGAGGAGACGATCAGTTCACATGTGTTTCGCGCTGCCGCGTCTGTTGAACTGAGGCGCTACAGCGATCCGTCACTCCACATTAAGCAGCGCCAAAACGGCATTTATTGTCTGAATACGGTAATACAATAGACAGAATTTGAAATCTGAGATTTTGTTTCATATCAAAAGTAACAAAGCACAATGCTTATTGCGATTTATTTGATGGGAGGTGCGCTACAATATTCTGTTCATTAACTGTAAACAAGCTAGACTAATCGATTCTTGAGATTTAATAATCAATATCTTAAGTAAAAATGAGAATCGATTAAAATCGAGAAATCTATATTTTTTACCCAGCCCTATTAATAATCCATAATCTCTAATAATGAAGCAGAAAAAGTCTCTTCTGCTTACCAAGGCTGCACTTATTTGATCAAAAATATAGTAAAAACAGTAATATTGTAAAATATTATTACAATTTTTAATAACTGCATTCTTTTACAATATATCTTAAGATGTAATTTATTCCTGTGATCAAATGTCATTTGAATTTGATCAAAATGAATTTTCAGCATCATTACTCCAGTCTTCAGTGTCACATGATCCTTCAGAAATCATTTTAATATGCTGATGTGCTGCTCAAGAAACACTTCTGATTATTATCAATGTTGAAAACAGTTGTGCTGCCCAATATTTTTTGTTGAAACCATTATACATATCTTTTTAGGATTCTGTAATGAACAGAAAGTTCAAAAGCACAGCACTTATTTGAAATGGAAATATTTTGTAACACTATTATTGTCTTTACTGTCACTTGCTAAATTAATTTCTTAAAAAAAAAACTGCATTTGTTGCAGCAGATTCTAGGGCTTGTGGCATTTTGGCTTTGTTAGATCTCAGTGCTGCATTCGATACCATTTGTCACACTATACTACTGGACAGACTACATAAGTGGATTGGTCTTTCTGGCATAGCTTTAAGATGGTTTGAATCATATCTTTCAGAATGCACTCAATTTGTTTATTCCTGGTACAAACAGATCTCAGACTGTTCCACTGCGGCAGGGTTATTGTCTTTACTGTCACTTGCTAAATTAATTTCTTAAAAAAAAACTGCATTTGTTGCAGCAGATTCTAGGGCTTGTGGCATTTTGGTCTGGATGAAACAGAACTTCCTACAGTTAAACTGTTCAAAAACTGAAGTTCTTCTGATTGGCACTTCAACTGCAGTAAATAGATGTAATAATTTTAAACTTACAGTGGATGAGTGCCAGATTCTCCCTTCTGTACAGGTGCGGAATTTGGGTGTGATTTCTGATGCACAGCTGACTTTTAACACTCATTTTAAGAATGTTACTAAAGTAGCTTTTTATCATCTTCAGAATATTGCACGTATAAGACCGTTTCTCTCTATGCCTGATGCAGAAAGACTTATTCACGCCTTTATAACATCGAAGGCTAGATTATTGTAATTATCTTTTAAACATCTGCTAATTTGATTAAGAGGCTGCAATATGTGCAAAATTCAGCTGCTCGTGTTTTAACTTACACACCATCCCGCAGTCATATCACTCCTGTGCTTTCTCAACTACACTGGCTTCCAGTTCAATCACTTATTGATTTTAAAGTTCTTATCTTAACCTATAAAGCAGTACATGGGCTGGCCCCAGAGTATATTTGTAATTTGGTCACAGTGTCTACACCATCTCGGTCTCTCCGCTCTGCTGGTTCTCTTACTCTGTACCAGCCTCGCTGTAAACTCAAACTATGGGTGGGAGGTCATTCTCTTGTATTGCTCCCAGGTTGTGGAATTCTCTGCCTTTTCTTATTAGGAATACTCCGTCTTTTGATTGTTTTAAGAAATTACTCAAAACATATCTCTTTAGTGAAGCTTTTAAGTTATAATCTTACAGTTGCTGTTGCCACTGTTGTTATTGTGATTGTTATTATGGAGTAGTGTTGTTTCTTTTATTGTTGTAGCACCTTGAGTGTAAGAAAGGCGCATTACAAATAAAATGTATTATTATTATTATTATTTGTGAGCTGTACAGGGGTCTTGATGGAAATATGTCACATGTCATTAGAATTTCAGGTGCACAATGATGAGTTGATTATTATAGCATAGACCTAACTATACACAATAATGAATCAGGGCTCTACAGTTCGACCATTTCAGTCGCATTTGCTTCTACGTTAGTTTCTACGTGTTTTTGCAGCGTTGAGTAATGTATCACAGACATATCTCATGAATCCTTTCATAAGCAAAGTGCAGACAGGGTGTAAATAAGAGATTTATTGTGCAGTGTAGAGAGCTTGGTTGATTAAAAAACCACCACTGGCTCTGCACCCCTTTACCTAAATTCATTACTTCAGAGTTATGTGCCCTCTAGAAGCGTGCGTTCTGCAAGCGAACGACGCATTATTGTGCCATCTCAAAGAGGCACAAAATCACTTTCACTGACTTTTTCATTAGCTGTTGGAATATATATTCAACTCCTGGTGGAATGACCTGCCCAACTCAATCCGAGCAGCTGAGTCCTTAGCTATCTTCAAGAAACCACTAAAACCACATCTGTTCCATCTCACACAGTACACACACATATATTATGTAAACAAAATATTTTATTTTGAATGCGATTAATCGTTTGACAGCACTAGTTAATACTGATTTCATTTGATTGGTAACTTATTCTTCTTATTCTACTTGTTCTTATTCTGTGGTTTTAATTCGAATTTTTTTAAAAAGCTTATAAAATATATATATATTTTAAATTTGACATAAAAGATAACATACTTTTAATAAAGTTAGAAAAATGCCATTACAAAGGTAAAAACAAAATGCCACTGTAAATCACTTTAAGGAGTCAATATCACCTCATAATGGGAAGGCTAATTTTTTTAATCAAATTTTGGATTATTGATTAGAAGGTGCTCCTAAATTTTTGACTGTGCTCCTACATTTTTTAAGTTAAGGTTCCTAAAAAGAAAAGTAAGCGTAGAGCCCTGTGAATGCATACAGAGATTGTATCAAGGTCAGGGTTGGAAGTCATATCCATTTACTGATTAACTGTCCAGTGATTGTAACATAGATTTCCCTCGTGATGCTCTGCAGAAATACTGAGCTCCTCTCTTGTTTCAGCTGAATTAGAGTCAGGCGACTGACTTTAACATACTAGTGTGTTGACCTGCTGCAGTGTAACTAGGGCTGAGCAATACAGCGAAAGTAAAATCTCATTTTTTTTTCAGAACAACTGACTGATTCAAGAATGATTTTCTTTAAAATGATTTTTTTTTTTAAACATGTAACTAGTGAACTTAAAAATGACTTCAACATAATTCAATCAACATTCCCTTCATTACAAACTTGCAAAATCATCTAGTTCTATTCCAAGTGCATTACAAATGAAGAGGACAACATGGTGTAAAGCAAATTCACTTGTTAAATATCTTTACAGATTAGATGCATGAAATATGAAAGGCAAATACAGTACAAACATGTTTTAAACATGTCCTATATGTTTACAAATAATATAAATTAAGAAAAATGCTAAATATTTCTTAGCCAAAATGTAGACATTAAGTTTTAGAGGTCAACTCAAAAAGTCACGTTTATTCAAAATAAACAGAGCAAATCCAAGAGGGTCCTCGCACCATTGTGGCCCTAATGACTAAAAGTATAACAGCAGTAGTAGGCTTTTATTACTGGCAGGCTATTATTACTGTTAAATGTTTTGTAAAAACACAGAAAATAGCAGATTTCAGCTTTTTTCATGTTCGCATGGCACCATCATGCAAACATGAAATATTAGACATACAGTAGTAGTTCTTTACAGGTTTTTGCATTTCACTGCACTGCTTTTCCATTGCTTTTTTTGTGCAAACATGTACTTTACGGATGCGTTTGATTGTTGCGTCTTCTTACAGGGTCTCGTGCATGAAACTGCATTCTAAAACCACGGTGCTCAAGTTAAAGGGATAGTTCACACAAAAATGAAGATTCTGTCATTAATTACTCACCCTCATGTCATTCCAAACCCGTAAGACCTTCATTCATCTTCGTAACACAAATTAAGGTATTTTTGATGAAATCCGAGAGCTTTCTGAACCCGCATAGACAGCAACGCAACTGAAATGTTTTATGGCCCAGAAAGGTAGAAAGGACATAGATAAAATAGTCCATGTGACAGCAGTGGTTCAACGTAATTTTATGAAGCTACGAGAATACTTTTTGTGCTCAAAGAAAAAAAAAAAGACTTTATTCAACAATTTCTTCTCTTCCCTGTCAGTCTCTGCCACACGTTCACGAGAGTATCACGATGCATGTGCATGCTTTCCTCTGCTCTGCAGAGCTTCGGAGATTACTTACAAATTGTAATCCGTTACGGATTCCAAATTACATGACAAAAAAATAGTTCGTAACGTAATCCATTACATTACACATTTTATGACTTTTAGATTACTTTTGACTTAACTTGTTTATCACATTGACTTGAATAGGATAATCTTGCACCATATTGATAAAAAATACAAAGAGTAAGAACATATATTCAATTTGTTGTTATAAACAACATGAAATGCATTAAACATTAGGTCAAGGTTTCCTAAACTGGTGTTTGTGAATGAACTGCAGGGGGTTTATGAGTTTAATAAAAAGACAATAAATTAAATCATACATTTTATATTAAATTAAATCATTTTAAAATCAATAAAAATAAAAACCTTACTAAAAAAATATATATTTTATTTGTTTACCTGCATGCCATGTGACCACGTCAGAGAACCAATGAACATGCAAATGTGATAATTATTCAAATAATTATTTTTTAAATCTCTAGGGTACTTCAAGTAAATATATTAGGTGAAAGAGGATCAATGTTATCAAAAATATCTTAATTTGTCTTCTGAAGATGAACGAAGGTCTTACAGGTTTGCAACAACATGAGGGCGAGTACTTTTTGGGTGAACTATCCCTTTAACAGTTCAACTCGCATATCATAACCTTGTGTTTTCCCCATTCCACTGCCATATCTCATGTTTTTCAATGAAAAACACATTCTGTGTGAATAGGTTTTTAGGACTCGTGATTTGTGGGAGCAGTTCATCAGGTGTGCCACCATGTGGTAGGATCAGTTTTTTTCTCTGAATGGTTTTCATTGCTGTATTGTTGACATGTCTAAAGTCTCGTTCAGACTGTCAGTCCAAATCAGATTTTTGTGCATATCCAACTGGAATCCGATCTAGATTACAGACTGTCTACACTGTGTATCGCAACTGATCAAATCCGATTTGTGTTTCCCGTAGTGCTCCTTCGTTTTACTGAATATCTGCATTGGTTTCTATGGCAATGCCTTTAATAATAATACGTTTAATTTATATAGCACCTTTCCCAAGCTCAAGGACGCTTCACAATAACAATGGCAAATAAGCAATAATTTCATACATATATGCATATCACAGGAGTAGTGCAAACAAATCAAATACAAGCAGAGAACCATAACAGTTTAAGAAAAAACATGTTATGACCGGTAGTATTGGTTGAACAGATTGCGTTGTTATGCCTACACTAATACAACAATAACAGCAATAGAGATTGCACAGATGTTGTCTTATCGCGCTGGATTATTTTTCGTCTTATGAGGCAGCGGCAGAAACGCAGGAAGCTGGAATGTGCGAGTTTATTCCGTGCTGCTGTCTCCGCTGGTTTCAAAATTCAGAGGTGCGTATACTAGCAGTATATTGTCTTTTTCCGCTTGCCTTGCACTTCGCAACAACACAAGCTCGTTTCTGCAAAGATGTTCAGCGTGTTTTCTACAAAAACTTCTGACGTGTTTACGTTTTGCTTGCCGTGAGAATGTAAAAAAGCTACACTAAATCCGATCTGACCAGTCAGACTGAAACGTTTTTTTACAGGAATGCGATTCGAATACGATTCCAAACCACATATGAATGTAGCTCAAAATGTAGTTCGTTGCCGTTCAGACTATTTAAATATGATCAGATTTCAATCGGATCTGCACAAAAATCGGATTTGGGCTGACAGTCCGAACCAGACATAACTGCACATAAAAAACATTATATAAATATAAAAATATGTCTATACATAAATGTATATAAAAACAGTGGCAAAACATTGAAATTAATTGATAACATCTATCCAATTGATAAAAACTGTCCAGCCCTAAGTATAATCACGCCAGCCAGTTTTGCAAGCCACTTTATGCTTTTTTGATTAGTTCGTAAACAGGATAGTCAGGGACTCAAACCTGCATCACTGGAAGCACTTCAGGCCCAATGTGTCGAGAGCTACTCCATTGCTCGAAAAAGGGATAGTTTTCTAATAGCATTTAAAACAAACTAATGCAAGTTCTTTTGAATTAAAGGTGCAGTAGGACATCTTGGGAAATCCTAACTTTAGCCTGATAGCACTGAAAGCGAACGTCCCACCCTCCCTGCAATCGCTGTCCAAAGCCACGCCTCCTGAACACATATACATTCACCTATTGCACCTTTAAAACTGACATTCTGAACTGAAATTTCATTTCAAAATCAATTGACTTGAAAAACTGAACTGCTCTGCGTTGGAGAACTCAAACTGCTGCTATCCTTACCGTGTTTTGCGCTTATTGCTCTTGTCTTCATCGGCGTCTTCACTCGCAGTCTCACTGAGCGCTGATGCATCGCTGGAGCCCGAGCGCGACTGCTCAAAGTCCGAGTCTGCAGAGTCGTCGCTGTCCACTGCACAAACACACATCAATAAAACCGTAAACTCTTCAGCTCATTCAGTCGAGTCACACGTGCAGGTTTTGTTCAGACTTGACACTGACCTTTCCGCTTGCCTCTCTTTTTGGTTTCTTTCTTGTTTTTGACTGGAGTCTCGTCATCAGAGTCTCCCTCGCTTAGAGTCAACTTCTTACTCAACAAACGGTGTCTGCGTCCACCTTTCTTCACGTCAACATCTGAGCCCGAGTCCGAAGTTTCATCCTCTTCCTCTGCAGGAAACATCAATGCATTATACATGACAAGAACACATCTGCACTAAACTGGGTTACATCTGAACTCAGGGCTGGGCGGTATATCAAGTTTTTATGATATACGTGACCCTGGAGCACAAAAGCAGTCTAAAGTCGCTGGGGTATATTTGTAGCAATAGCCAACAATACATTGTATGGGTCAAAATTATCGATTTTTCTTTTATGCCAAAAATCATTAGGATATTAAGTAAAGATCATGTTCCATGAAGATATTTTGTAAATTTCCTACAGTAAATTTATCAAAACTTAATTTTTGATTAGTAATATGCATTGCTAAGAACTTCATTTGGACAACTTTAAAGATGATTTTCTCAATATTTAGATTTTTTTGCACCCTCAGATTCCAGATTGTCAAATAGTTGTATCTCGGCCAAATATTGTCCTATCCTAACAAACCATACATCAATGGAAAGCTTATTTATTCAGCTTCCAGATGATGTATAAATCTCAATTTTGAAAAATTGACACTTAAGACTTGTTTTGTGGTCCAGGGTCACATATGTGACCCGTGCTAGCAAAATGTATCGGAATGCACACAGGCTAATTTTGAGCTACAGACAAAAAAAAAAAAAAAAAACCCATTTAAAAATGTTGATTTTGGTCGACTTTCAAGTTTTCACAAAAATGAGTTAATTAAAGCCCTCGTCTAGCAATTCCAATGCTCCAATAAGTAATTAAACATCTAAAATTATCAATATTTGTACGTTTTCTGAGAGGAGTACCTTTTCTCTGCCGCTGACTGACATATGAATCAAGCACATAACGGCGCTTCCGCCAGCGCACAATCCCGATAAATACACACACTTTATATACAGAATTACAGTATTTAAGTAGGCTATTCATGCAAACATAATCTGTTATGCCTTAACTGCATTTAAGTAGGCTATTCATGCAAACATAATCTGTTATGCTGTTATGCCTTAACTGTATTTAAGTAGGCTATTCATGCAAACAATCTGTTATGCCTTAACTGTATTTAAGTAGGCTATTCATGCAAACATAATCTGTTATGCCTTAACTGCATTTAAGTAGGCTATTCATGCAAACAATCTGTTATGCCTTATCTGATGTGTAGCATTATATTAGATCCGTGCAGTACAGTATGACTTACTATATAGGCCATCTGACTTTACTATAGCTCCGACTGGATTCGTCTGAAAGAAGAAAGTCATATACACCTAGGATGCCTTGAGGGCGAGTAAAACACAGGCTAATTTTCATTTTTGGGTGAACCTTTCTTACAAGAAAAGAAAAGATCGCTGCTCTTGATCGAACTGCTTTTGTAGTTTTAATCATAAATGTATTTGTAATGAACACACTGAAGTGATTTTTACATTTGATTATTTGTTTTTCTTACTTGAATGCTTTTGTTTAGATGTAAAATGAAAAAAGTAATGCACTAGGCCTACTTGTTTCTTTCCATTTGTTCTACTGTTGTTGTTTTGCATCAGTTCTTATTTTTAAGATTAAAGAAAATAAATGGCTTTATTGTGATTATTAATACAGTAATTAATATTAAAAAAGGAAGCGGAGGAAACAATGCAACGTTGCTCTGCGATTTTGCTTTGGAACCTTCAGAAAACTTCAACTTGATTTTTCTCAGAACTGACTAATGATTCCAACAAATCATACATCATTTTGAAAGTATTTTAATGGAGAACGTGAAAATAAAAACAAATTTTTTAAAATGTGCTCATTGTGACTCATCTTGCCAGCACAGGTCACATATCGATATATTTTTTGAAACCATAAGAATGAGGCAATACCATTTATATTTATATACACTAGTTTGATACAAGCGCATCTAAAAAAAAATAGCGGAGGACACAGACTGAGCTGCTGTAAGAAAGTGCATAATCCAGTTTGTCCTAAACATGAGACATGCTTTATATTAAGGGTTTTAAAATAACTCGTAAGATAGTTAACACACATAGTTTAAAGCGGCTTGCCCTGTCAGAGGCTCTGACAGCATCTGTACTGACAGATTGGCTACTTGTGAAATTCAGCTAAAAAATTAGGTATGATATCGCCCAGCCCTGTCTAAACCAACTCCCAACTCTCACCACTTTCATCTTGCTTCTTAGCACCATCTTTTCCTTTCTTTGGTGAATCCCCGTCCTCTTTGTCTGCATTTTCATCATCAGATGAACTGTCAGCTCCAGATGAATAATTGGCTTTGATTTGCGCCAGAAGCATCCTTTTGGCAATTCTTTTAGAAGAGACAGAAACAAGATTAGGCCAAAAGTCCAGAATAATACATCCTCTTACTTTACCTTGTGAACGTCCAATCTGAGACATTTTCATGAAGGGAACTACTTTGGTTTTCAGAATCAGAAACAAGACTGAGGGTGAAGCTTCAGCCTTTCTCACACAGAACAACCTCCTGGACAGCAACCAATCTGGCTTCAGAAGTGGACATTCGACCGAGATTGCCTTGCTTTCAGTTGTTGAAGCCCTAAGACTGGCAAGAGCGGCTTCCAAATCTTCTATACTTATCTTGCTGGATCTGTCCGCTGCTTTTGATATGGTGAACCACCAGATTCTCCTGTCAACCTTATTGGAAAATGGCATCTCAGGAACCGCACGCCAGTGGTTTGAGTCTTACCTCTCAGATAGGTCCTTCAAGGTATCTTGGAGAGGTGAGGTGTCCAAGTCGCAACATCTAGCTACTGGGGTGCCTCAGGGCTCAGTTCTTGGACCACTTCTCTTCTCTGTCTACATGGCATCACTAGGTTCTGTCATTCAGAAACATGGCTTTTCATATCACTGCTATGCTGATGACACTCAATTCTACCTCTCATTCCATCCTGATGATCCGACGATAGCTGCTCGCATC